TGTTGCAACTTTGTTTCGAAGTTTAGAATTCATTTTGCTATAATCATCATATAAGCTTCGAGTAAAATTGTTGAAACTCAACTTTCGAATACCAATCTACCACAATTATTTATCCAATTTCACAATTTCATTGACTTAATTAAAAAAAAAAAGTGAACAGTTCAAAATTTGTTTCACCCGCTAGACACTTTAGCAATTTATTTTCAATATTTGATGCACAGTTAAAAGCGTGATTGAACCAGTAACGATGAAAAATTATCGATAATTCGAATCGCGATGACTTTTTAACAAAAAAAATCATATAGCAGTCCGCTTGGTCTTATTTTAAAGCCTCCACTTTCGTAGTTCTGAATTCATCTTTTCAAACGATATTTTAATATCATGTAACGAATGGAAAAGTTCGTACACTTATTTTCAAAAGAATTGTAAAAATTCGCACATTTCTAAAAGCACAAAAAATCTTTTTTATGATTGAAATACAATGATGTTTCAAGTCCTTGACGTTCGTAGTTCAATAAAATGTTGGCGGAAAAACAATCGTACAACATGTTTTAAAACAGTTGACATTGTTGCAAAAAGGAGATTTCAATCTTCAAAGTCACGAAAAAATTTTTTAATGTTCCTACAGAAGCAAGAAGTTTGAACTTTTACAATTGTCTTTGAAAAAAAAAAAAAAAAAAAAAAACAGAGAGATTTTAAGAAACGCTTTAAAAAACGAGACCAAGTCGATTGGTCACATGGTGTTTCGTTACGAGGTTAGAGCAATTTTTCGTCGTTATTAGTTCAATTACGCTCTTCAAACATACAGTGCGTTTAAAATATATGCACCATAATTTATTATACAGGGTTTTATTCATTCCGAGTTTAAACGGCCGCATTGATTATGAATTTATTAATCGAGTTAACAAAGAACATCGAAGGAAGAAGCGGGCACGAGAAGCTCTTTATCGTGGGAGTGAACATTATATCTCACGGTGTATATGGAAGAGTTAATTAAATTTCTAGTTAGCAACGTGGAATTACTTCGTGGCGAAGTTTCGATAAGGTTGCAAGAGCGTTAGCCCCGAACAAACGCAATAACGAAAGTCGTATTTCGTTCGTGGCGCCTCGCAGTTGCTCTCTTTCGCTGATAAAATTGTAAAATTTTCTGGGAACTTCGTACCTTTCGGCCCGCTTTCGTCGTTTTCCCTTTCATCACGCAAATCTGCGCGCGACTAAAATTTTTTTTTTTTTTTTTGATCCTTCTCTTCTCGTGAGCTCTGTGACTTTCTGTCGTACGAAAATCGCGCTGTTGCGAGATTTTTAAGAGCTAAGCTATTGAAATTTTTATCTCTCTGGAGATGCAATTTGCTAAGAGTCCGCGATTTACACTCGCCCAAGATTACAATGTTTCTTTTTTCTTCTTTTTGAAACTTAGTGTTTCATTCCATTTTACTGAAGTTACTAAAACTTCACAAATACGAGTTATAGGAAAAATCAATTCTGTGGATAGTTAAAAAGAAAAGTAATAAAGAAATTATTAAATATCCTCGTTAAATTATCGACAGTATCATCAAATAACTCTAGTTTTATTTACGACCGATCCTACTTTCTTTCTCTGTCGTCGCAAACGAGAAACTGTAGTATCGCGTCGAATCGAGCCAGAGAAGATAAAAATCACTCGGTGATTGAGATCATCCGCGCGATGTCAGGGCAAAGCGAATTAACGTGTTTCTTAATCTCCGTTTGTTCAGGATAGTGGAAAGAAAAGTGGACGTTTACTAATGCAGAGTAGGTAACAAAAGCAGCGGTGGTGCCCTTTCGAGCATGATCGGAGCCGCGGTGCGAGCATAATCGAGCACAGGCCACGAACAGTTCACGTGGGTGGAGTTGGTTCTGCCTTCGGTGTCGGTTGCGATTGTAAAAAAAACGTGAAACTCATTGCAATCTGGTATCGGTCATGGTCGATCGCTTTTACCAGCTGGCTGCTTGTGCACGCTCGATTGAACTGTTGTGTAGAACACAGGGCAGAGCATGCGCACGAAACTTTTGTTTTTTTTTTCAGAAAATAAGAGTATATCACTTATTAATTGGATAGACTTTTGCTAGATTATTCCAAACTGGAATGTTATGGCAGTGTTAGTTCGCGAGAGGACGAAATTTATTTGAGGATGAAATATATTTCCACTTGGATATTTGGATTTTTTTCTTTTTTTCGACAACTGTAAAATACAAATTTTTTTGCGTACGCGATTTAACTCGTATTTTGATCGCATTATTAATCATCGCGAGCAATTGAAATAAAAGGATTTATTCAAATGACAGTATTACGTTGTTAATGTTCATCACGCTCTCGCTTCTCGCGTCTACGAATTTCGATTCACGAAAATATTCATTCACGTGTAATCTGCTTGCAGATGGTTCATTACGTGTCAGCGTCAGCGCTGACGTCGCAGGCGCGGCAAACGCCGCCGAATTCTCGAACGAGTTTGGATCTGTTTGGCCAGCTTTTGCGGAGAGCCGGAGGCATGGGCGACATCAGGGACTGCCCGGTGAGTAATTTCCACCTTCACCGATAAATCCACTTTCTTCTCGTGCACGCGCAATTTCACACCAACCATTCCATCGTCACTCGAACGATTGTTAAGCCTGCAGAGCTTGAGAAGAGTTCCACAGTGTGATCTGTGTCTGATTCATCCTCGCTCCAAGATCAGGCACATTCTACTTTGGCCTTTCTTCGAATTAATATCCCGCGGACTTTCTCTTTGAAGTGGAACGATAACTATCGTTCGAGCGCTGCCGGCTATTTGCTTGGCTACGCGGATGCTGCCCGCATAGAATCCGACGACCGACAACCGTGAAACTCTGCAATTTGCAGACGATAAATAATTAACCATCGTGGATCGTGATTCGTAATTGTAGAACGAACGAATTTTGAAATTATGTCGTTGAATGTAGTCCCACGACGTAATATCGTCGGAATGTTGAAATTATGCTATAACGATAGATTCTTCGATTTTTCGATCGTTCCGTTTTACCGTTTTTACCTTGATAAAGTGCCTTTTCATTATTTTTAACAATACCGTTTTCGTTTGTTCGTTTTGCAGAGCTCTTGCGGCGCGAAAATCCAAATCTGCCGGACCCTGATGAACCGGCCGGAAATTGTTTCCGTCGGTGTCGTGTGGGACAGCGAACGGCCGTCGTTGGAGCATATCATGGACGTTTTCGCAACCGTGGGAACGTCCCTCAGATTGAGCGATGTTTTCCACAGCGTGGTGGACTCGCGATGGGGTGCCTCGACCGTGCACAATCTCGTCGGAGTCGTCACGTATTATGGAAAACACTACTCCACTTTCTTCTTTCACACTAAACTGAAGGTTAGCGTGCGTACCTGTACGTCACATTGTGCGTTTCACGCCATATCAGTGGATTTTCGCAAGAATTGGCCAGTAAAGCGTTGGAAGGAAATTCACTCACGATTTTTTCACGTTAGAAAGAAACGTCTTTTCTTCGCTTTAGATTGAAATTTTTTAACACGTCACTTTGAATTTTATTCAACTCATTTACAACACTCATTACTGTCATGGGAACCATTGCAACGTTATCATAATATTTCATCCGTAAATCATACATAAGCAACATCATTAATTTCTATACCGAGCCACAAATAAATTAAGTCGTTTCTTAGAAATTCAAGGTTATTCAATTAAACGAGCGATTTAAGAACTTGCAGATGAAATTAATTTCGTAGATTAAATCATTTCTTTGAAATTCGTAATATTTTATCCTATAAATCACATGTGAATAATATCATTCCCATGCTGAGCCACAGACAAATCAAACGATTTCTTAAAACTTATTTCATGAAATAAGTGACTTCAGTATTTATATTAAGCAAGTTATTTAGTAAGTTCAATCAGTGAAGTCAATTTGTTTTGGAATTGCGTTATCTCGCCACAGGTGTGGATTTACTTCGACGACGCGACCGTCAAGGAAATCGGGCCGCGTTGGGAGCAGGTGGTGGAGAAGTGCCGAAGAGGCAGATACCAGCCGTTACTTCTGCTGTATGCAACTCCTGGTGGAACGCCGGTGAATACGGAGAACGCGCCGAAAACCGTGACGCCGTTCCCGAACGGGAATGGACTGAAAACACCGCCGAAGAATAACGTTCGACGATCGATCACACCCAGCCCGGAAAAACCATCGATCAATAGTACTGCCAGACGTGCCATCACACCGAATCCCGACAGTCCTCCTCATTCTTACACGCAACGCAGGATCTACAGCGACTATCAGAATCTGACGGATATTCAGAACAACATCTTTGGAAATCAGGTAAGTTCCTTCATGTACGTGGTGGTTCGATCGAACTGTGGTTGATTTATTTACGTCACTGTGTCGTAATTATTTTGTTAAATATTTTTTAAATTCAATATTTTGCGCAATGCGAAGGAACTTTGTGAAAGTTCAATTTCCTATTACGCTGATGATGAAATAAATATTGGACCAGGATGTTTAATGAAACATCTCTGGAAATTAGGTAGGTTTCTCACTTTCGCGTGCATCACCGATCGATTTATTAAATAATTCAATATCTTCCGCAATGGGAAGATTTACAATTTTCTGTTACACTGATGATGAAATAAGAACGGTCCAGCAATAAAAGCATTGTATCAAGATCATTTGACAAACTGTCGTGATAGAATCCTTAATTCGTGAAAGCTGCGAATAAATTTCACAACAGAATCTTCATGATTTCTGAAAATTAAGCATCTCCGTCCGATGAGAATCAATTCTCGTCGATATGCCGTAGAGATCTTCGCAGCGGAAGAGACACTTGAATGAAATTTTCTGTTGAAGGGTGTCGACACCGTCGACGGAGACGCGGAATCGAAGTACATCAGCCGACGCGCTGTAGAGAACGTGATGCAGCAACAGAAGAAGCAGCAAATGCAACTGACACGCAGCCTGAGCGCTGGTTCGACGCCGCAGGACGCCATCAGTATTCCTGATCACTTGAACGTGCCGCGGAGGCGAGATTCCGGAAACTGGTCCGGCGATCGGAACAGCGCGTCCTCGAGTTCCTCCACCACGATGGACAATCCGTACTTGTACATCGTTAACAAAATGCAGAGAAACTCGGGCGTGCCGAAAAGCCCGACCAGCAAGTCCGGCGAACTTTCCAGCAGCAGCAGTGGCCACTACGACGCCGGATACGACTCGTATTCTTTGTCCTCCACGGACAGCCTTCCGCTGCAGCAAGGGCTGAAGCATAATCTACAGGTACGTGTTATTTTAACGCTACATTGAAAGATTGTACGACTCTTTATAGTATTAAGAATGTGATGACTTTTCCACTTTCTGGGAAAGTGATTTCTCAATTTTGAGAATACATCAGGCACTCGTGTATTGAACATGAAATGATTTATTATACTTCTTCTTGTTGATATTATCCTATTAGATCAAAACTTTATGTATATAATATATATATATATATATGCTTGCATTTACCTAAATAAGAGTAGATATGGATTATCAGACATATCACGTGAAGAATTAAGATATTTTCAATCTCTCTGTCTAAATCATGTCGTTTTGTCTCGGAACCACTGTTCCTTCGTCGGTTGTAATCAAGTACAACCTTGAAATTTTTTTAATAAATAAAATTGCGATACTATTAACGAAGGAGACGGTAGAGTTAAATCGATTTACTCAACATAGCTTGCCCAGATCCCGGAAGGCTACCAAGCTTCCTCAGGCGACGACTGTGAACGCCTGTGCAAGGAAACCGACGCTCTTTTGGACAAATCCCGAGCTGCTGAAGATGCGGGCGACCTCAGCACCGCGGTCGCTTTGTGCAGCGCGGCGAGCAGCAAAGCCAGAGCCGCCATGGATGCACCGTATAACAACCCTCACACCATCAGAACAGCAAGGATGAAGCACAATACTTGCGTGATGAGGACCAGGAGTTTGCACAGAAGAATGTTGCAGGAACAGGCGACAGTTAATGGGGAAAAAGAAGGTGAATTGTTAAAAGAATTATATATATATATATTTTTTTTTTATTTAAAAATTATGTTAAAATTTATTATTATGTATAAATATAAATAAATACGTACTAGATTTAGAATGATAGGCCGAAGAAGAGTGTTAAGCTTTTCAGTTTTAATCGTCTGTATATTATTTTCGTTCTACTTCTGTCAAAAATAAATTGTATCCATCGTATTTGGATATGCAAAAGAATTAATAGATTAATTTATATAACATATATACAAATATACGTGTTTCAGAAGGTGCGCCAGAAGGAAGACACTCGCGAGAAAACAGCAAATCCGGCCAGCACTCTCGGCAAAGTTCCAGAGACAAGGGGAACCATTCTCGACAAAACAGTCGGGAACTCCTAGTGAATCCCCCATCCGCAACTGCCGACAAGCCGGCCACCAAGAGCATCGAGATCTACGCTACGTTGCCAAAAAAGAAGACACTGCGCAGCAAGGCGACCGCCGTGAACGTAATCGAGGACGAGGAGTACATGTTGTATGATCGACCGATACAGAGGACGGGTCTGTTCAGTCGTACGAAACGTTGCGACGACGACAAGAAGGACAAGAAACGAGCTCGAAGCGAGGAGAGGAACAAGAACGTCTCCAAAGACTTCTCCGTCGCCCCGTCTCGATCGTCTCCCGCGCCGAAAGGCGCCAAAGTGGAGAAATCGAAGGAGACCGACACGATCGCCAATAGCGCGCGGAACGCTCAGTCGAACAACATCTCGAACGGCGAGCAGAAACAAGGTAAGAAGCAGCACAAAATTCGAAGGAAACTGTTGATGGGCGGGCTGATCAAGAGGAAGAACAGGAGCATGCCGGATCTACGAGAAGGTCAAGACGGACAGACGAACGCAAGCGTGGAGGGGACCTCGAACGCTTTACCGAAGCAGTCGGTGGACGATTCCAGCGTTGGTTTGAAGGGCAACGAGGTGTGCCAGTCTCTAAGTGGCTACCTGTCCGAGGGACACCTAGAGTTCACTGGGAACAGCAACGGTAGTCCGGGCAGCACCAGCAATCCAAACTTGGAGAGAAGTCGTCTGATGAGGAAGAGCTTCCACGGCAGTGCCGGTAAAGTGTTACATGTGGCGAAGGTCCCTCCGCCTCCTCCGCTCAGGACCACTTCTCAGCTTAGCAAGTCTAAGTGTTCGGGCGAAGTGCACAACGAGCAGCAGCCGGAGAAATCGGTCTACTCAACGTCAGAGAGTCAATGTTCGTCCAACCCATCTCAAGACCAGAATGGGGCGTACTGGAATCACGTGAACGCGACAAACTCGACCGGCGGTGCTAATCGAACCTCCAACTACACCGATTACTCGTCCGAGTCTCACTCTCTTCCCTTTCTGCCTTCTTACGGCATCGAGCAAAACAGCGGGAACGTGGCAACATCTTGTCCGTCGAACTACAACAGCAAACCTAGAATTCAGGATGACGTGGTGCAATATGCGAACGGTATCCTGTACGAGCCCACGTTTGTGGTTACGAGGGCGGACGTGCACAACGAGCAGAGCCCCGTGAAACAACCGAATCAGCTGGATCCTTTGCCTCCGTATCCCGAAAACGGCAATGTCTCCCATTCGAGGCAACCCAGCGAGGACTTTCCTCCTCCGCCGTATCCTTCTATTCATTCTGTGTCTCACTCGAGGCAAGCCAGCGAGGACTTTCCACCGCCTCCGCCACCAATCGACGAAAGTTCCAGTCACATTCAGGATCAGCAACAATATCAGCAGCAACAGTACCAGCATCAGTACCAGCAGCAACAGTATCAGCAGGCTGTTTCTATGCAGCAGCGCCAACAGCAGCTGGATAATCAGCATATTGGCGGTTTACTGTCCCAGTTGCAAATGAAGAGAGATCAGATCCTAACCTGTGAAGCTCCGAGAGACGAGAAGAAGCCCGAGGAACAGGAGGACGAAGAGAAATCATCCGGAGAGACTTGGTTGCGCGAACTGCAGGCCAAACAAGCGGAAAGAAGGATGAAGAAGCAAGGTCCTCTTGAACAGGATGTCTCAAAAGTTAGATCGTCCGGTCCTACGATCTCTGGGCCGACAATCGCTAGGAGAACGAGTGACTTGATGATGAACAGCCTTGGTCAAAGCTACGATCAGTCGAGTCGTGACGTGACCGATTGTCCAAGAGTGGTGTCCTCCGTCAAAGACATGGCCGCTAGATTCGAGCAGATCAAGCTGCAACCGGCCGCCAAATCTGAGTCTGACCAAAAGATTCCGACGAAGCAGAATGTGAACGGCGTTTCTCCTTCTCCGTTGCTGGACGCTTCGCAACACGCGGACGTTCAACACGCGGAGGAATCGAGGCCAATGAAGCTATCCGCGGAGAATTTGACGAACTTTACGAAAACCGAGAGCTCGTCGAATCAGTCGCTGATGAATTCGAGCTTCGAATCTAGCTCCAGTCAGAACAGCTTCATCTCGACCACAGCCCCGAGCAACACCGTGCAAACGCAGCAGAACGGATTGAATCAGGCGATCATGTCGATGTCTCTGACGCTGCCGCACGAGAACGGTCTGCCTATCGATTACCCCGAGGACGATATCAGCGAGGTCGCCATGCAGAATACCATACAGAATACGACGATCTTGCCGAGCGAGGACGACATCTCGCCGAGGAAGATGAAACGACGAATAGGAAAGAAGAAGAGCGTGTCGTTCTGCGACCAAGTGGTTCTCGTTGCGACGGCGGAGGACGACGAGAAAGACTCCTACATACCTAATCCAATTCTCGAGAGAGTTCTCCGTTCGGCGATGAACAAACCGGAGACTGCCCAAGTCCTTCGAGAGATTCGAAGTCTTCAAGAGGCGGAGATGAACAGAGAGAGTTGCACCGCCACGAAATTCCAACAGCAGACTCTGCCATTGAAAAGCGAGGCGGACAGCGTTCCCGCGACTCCTTATCAAGATCAGTTGAGAAGCGTGAATCCTATACCGATACCGGACACGATCAAGCCTACTTTTGCGAGGCAAAACTCCAACGAGTCGGTGGGATCGTTGTCGGACAAGAAATCGTTGTGCGGTTCTTATGGCAACGAGGGCCAGGACGTTGTCAGGGACACCTACTCTGGGCTTCCCAACGTATCTAAACCACCAACGTCGTACTCTCCTCAGTTGCAGCAGCAGATAAGGTATTCCCAAAATGGGTACATGCCGTATTTGCAGTCTCAGTCGACGTACCCTCAAGCGCAGACGTCTCATCCGAGGAACCAGAGCATCCCGCTGTCTCAAACGCAAAAACCAGCCAGCCCTTACCCCACTCAGATTCAGTACGTGCAGAACAACGTGCAGCAACAGAAGGCAATATGCCAGAAGACCTCCTATCAGACTTACTACCAACTGGAGCAGCAGCACAATCAGATGAACAAGCAAATGTCTCAGCAGCAACAACCCAACATGAACCAGAGGATCGCGAGCCACAATGCAAGCCCGATAACTGTTCAACACGCTCAACAACAGTTCGCGTATCCAGCGACTCAGTCCCCCAGCCCTTATCAGAACCAGTACAGCCACAGTTCCTATCAGGGTTACCCCTATCAGTCTGTTCCTCAACAGAACAGAATGAGCCAACCTCTTCCACAGTATCAGCCGCCGCCGAATCCACCGTCTTCTTATCCGCAACAGCAGAACATGCCGAATTACCAACAGAGACACGATAATTATCAGAGGCCAGCTCAGAAGCCTGACCAGCAAAACATTCTGGCACCGAATCAGACGTACCCAAACGCGTTGCAAAACGGCCAGATACAGTCGAATATGAAGTATCCGACGTATCAACATCCTCCCGTGTCGAAACAGAGCAAACAGATGCATTTCCTGCCGATGTCGAAGAGCAACGCGGCAGTAACGCAATCCGCGTCCTCGTTGCAGAAGCCTGCGATCGGTGGCCCAGCGAGAACCGCGCCGTGTCATCTCTGCCGGAAGAAACAAGTGACCGAGCCTGCCATTTACTGTACCGACTGCGACTTTTACATGTCTCGCTTCCGGCCAAAGAACTGAAGGGAACTTTGTCCCATCCGTTGACGCGCGACCGACAAAATATTGTTGAAAGGACGAGTCGGTTTTTTGTTAAGATGATCTTTTCGTTCTAGGTGATGTATAGATGAAGTTTAAGTTTGACGTGTAGGATAGTCCTGTCTAAACTAAGTTTCTTTTTTTGTTTTGTATGTTAATTACGTGTAGAAAGAGAGTGGATAATGTATCGACACTGAAAGATTTTTCTGAATGTTCGAAGATTCTGAAAGCAAGTATTTGTATTAGGTAGATTATAGGAAATCCGAGATTTCTCATTTTTCTTCTTTCGACAGCAGCTGATTAGTGAGATTTCCAAGCGTCCGATTGAACTCGAATCTTGAAATCTCAAAGTCTTCGAAGCCTCGGAGGCTTGAAATCTCGAAGTCTCGAGGATTTAGAACCTGGAAATTTTCAACGAACATGGACGAGGTGTCCGTGTGTCAAATCAGCATACGGTCGAGACAGGTAATGCGTGTTTTTACGAACACGTGACTCTCGATTTCGCGATTCACTTAAAATCAGTCGCAAAAATTTCTGCGTCCCGAATGCCATCGAAAGATCGAAACTTCAGAGTGCGTTGAAACGGAGCGAGTTGAAACTTCGTCGTCGATACGCATACGAAATTCTCTCGAGTTCACTCGAGGCAAACTTATGATTGATTTTACAAAGGGTGACATCGAGCCACCCCTCCCCACTTTTGTACAAAGTTAAATTAGTTGTAGATTTGTATAATCGAAGACCTTCAGTCGTGCAGCTATCAACTATAGATACATACTCGTTGTACCATTGATTGTGTACTTAGCGAACATTTGTAATTTATAGCGAATCATATTATATAGAAAGAAAGATGTAGTTTTCTCGTATGTCAATCGTGTTCTCGAGTAACAAACGTTTCGTGCTTCGTACGTTAATCTAACGTGTAGCAAATATAGTTCTTTCAATCCTTGTATGATTTGTACTGTTTACAGTTCTGTTGTACATAGAGATTATTTCTATGTAGCGTTTATTTTTCTGTGTAAAAAGAAACAACAAATATCAACGTTAACCCTCTATCGAGCGTCTAGAGCGTTAAAAAGTGCGAGCGTTTCTGTTTCACGCGTACGCATACGTATCAAAACGACGCGGTTGTATTCCCGTTCGGGGAGGACAGTTTGTCAGAATTGTGATACTAGCCATGCTCTACGTAGGGTCTTATCGTTAAAAAGTTTAGAAATCCGTGCCGCGATGAAACGATAGTCGGGTAGTCGCACAAAAATCGAGGTGAATTAGAGGAAGCGCGAAGGCAATATGATCTCTGAGTTGAAAGCGTGAAGTTTATATTTTATGTTCATAGGCGTTGACGTTATACATATATGTAATAATTGTCATGTACTTAACGATTCCGTTTTATTGTAACGATCGTCTATGTGTATTAGATCGATGTACAAATCCAAGCCCCCGTCTCCCCGGTTTTATACATTTTGTATGAGTATTTTGTTTTAAAAATACTTGATTTCCTCTCCCGTATGTGACATTGAATAAAGCGCCGTCGAAATATTTCAAACACGTGTTTCCCACCGGTTCATTTCGCCGATATTACTCGAAAAACCACGGAACGCTTTTAAATATTTATGCGTAAAAAAATTCAAAAAACAGGTATCGACGAATTCTTTTATTTGGTATATTTTATCGCGTTTAATTTTAACACTGTCAGCGATCAAATTTAATTAGAGTCT